TCTCAGTCTGAGGTGATGGAGCCGTTTGACTCTTTTATATTCCTCATTTCTCTCATTATTCTCTTCTTTATTTTAACACCAGGACAGCTGAACCTTCCTCTGTTTCACTGTCCTCTGTGCTGCTGCTGCTGTAGTGTCTCTCAAACACGTTAAAAAAGTGGTAATAATAAAAATAATAATAATTATAAAAATGAGACTCAGGAGGACAGCTCAGCCCTTTCAGCATATTTCTCTTTTAATACATGAAAAATATCTTCTTCTATTGAACGATAAAAAGCAGTAATGTGCAGTTTTACACCTTCACAGAAGAGTCAGTAACAGAAACAACCCTGATCACAACCACAGATTCAGCCAATCAGAGCGCTGCATTTCAGAGGGCGGGGCTTAAATTAACCCGAGACCAAAACCCAAAAATCAGGTTTTAGACTCCTGAAAAAAACTGGATTTAAAGAGTTAATATTAGAGGATTAAAGCTGTGAAAGTGTTTCACTAAAATAAAGAAGTAATAAAGTCACTTTGATATAAACTGATAGTGTTAAAACAGGAATCAATCAATCAATCAATCAATCATCTCTGACTCTTCTGACAGCAGCTGATCACTGATCAAAACTAAAGATCTTAACGAACTTCACCTCCCAGAGCGACTCATCAGCTGATCCACGTCGTCTCACTTCTGTTAGGATGGACCGACCACATGACGCCCTTTAGTGTTGTTTTCATGTTACCATGACAACCATGGTTATTAGATTTAATGTTGACGATATCACAGATTCGTACATGATTCGCTTTTATTCCGACTTTAATATTTACTGTATATTTATGATGTTCAGATCAGATCCAGCAGCACGACGCCCCCTGCTGGTCAACAGAGGAGTCTGACCTTTGACCCTCTGTGTTAGCGTCTGTCTCACTCTCGTCTTAGAGCGCCCCCTGCTGGCGGACACCCTGTCACACAGTCAAAGGCTCTCATACTCTCATAGCTCTGAGGTAACAGCCGCTGAGGCTCATGGGTATTGTAGTATCTTTCTACAGGAACATCAGGAACCTCGAACACCATCTGATAAAGCAGCCCCGCCCACTTGAACAAAGCTAAGCTCTGATTGGCTTGACAGGTGCACCTTGTATCTCCTCCCCTCCACCATCCTGACCTTTCAAAATAAGAGTCCCAAAGTCAAAAGTAATTAGAAAATAAAGCGTTGGTTTGTTACATTCAAGTATTCAGATTTGCTCCAACATGGCTGCCGGCGGCGGCGGCGGCGCCCACATTCATGCGTAGACACACTTGTGCAGCTTCAGGTTGCGTTGATCCGAGTATCTCTTCCCACACTTGTCACAGATGAACTGCTTGCCGCCGGCGTGGACGTGTCTCTTGTGCGTCTTCAGGTGGCTGCCCTGGCTGAAGGTTTTCCCGCACACCTCGCAGGCGTACGGTTTCTCGCCCGTGTGCACGCGCAGGTGCAGCTTAAGGCTGTTGGCGTTGTTGAACTTCTTGTCGCAGCAGCTGCAGGCGAACGGCCGCTCGCTGGAGTGCACGCGTCCGTGTGACATCAGGCTGCTCTGCTGACTGAAGGTCTTGCCGCACTCCTGGCAGCTGAACGGACGCTCGCCCGTGTGGACCCTGCGGTGGATCTTCAGGTTCACCGACTGGCGGAACGACTTCCCGCAGGTCTCGCAGCTGAACGGGCGCAGGCCGCTGTGGATCCTTTGGTGGTTCTTCAGGTTGACGGCGTGGCGGAAAGTCTTGGGGCACTCCTCGCACTTTAGCGGTTTCTGTCCGGTGTGGATGAGCTCGTGTGTTTTGAGCGAGACGGCGCGGGTGAAGCCTTTCCCGCAGGTGTCGCACACAAAGACCTTCTTCCCGGTGTGAGTGACGGCGTGGCGGTGCAGGTTCTGCAGCAGGTTGAAGCGGCGGCCGCACACGTCGCAGCTGTACGGTTTCTCCCCGGTGTGGATGATGGCGTGCGTTTTCAGCTGCGACTGTTTGGAAAATTTCTTCTCGCACTGCGTGCACGCGTACGGCCGCTCGCCGGTGTGCGTCCTCATGTGACACTGCAGACTCTGCTTCTGACGGAAGGCTTGGCCGCACACCCTGCAGTGAAACGGCTTCTCGCCGGTGTGGATGAGGTAGTGAGACTTCAGGTAACTCCGAGACGTGAAGGATTTCCCGCACAACGTACAGGCGAAGTATTTCCAGGTGATGCTCTGCATGACAAACTCTGGAGGGTCCGCCACTTCCTGCAGCTGGAGGTCAGAGTCCACCGCCGCTTCGACTTCAGCTCCTGGAAACAAACACAAACATCTGTTTACTGACACGGAGGAGATAACCAATCAGAGCGAAGGAGGAGTGGTTGCTGACTCTCTGTGATGGCGCCCAGGTCGATGTTTCCGTGTTCGTCCTTCACCGTCACCGCCAGGATAAGCGGCTTCTCTGCTTCCTCTGCTTCCTCTGGTTCCTCGACTTTGGTCTACGGCGGTGAAAAGTACAGACATGAGTCAGGTCAGTGAAGGCATCATCGCCAACAAACAGGTGATTGGTCAGCAGACGAGGGTCTCACCTGAGTGGACACCGACGTCTCCAAACCCTCCGGTCTGACTCCATACGAGTGCTCCGCCTCTGTAACCATAGATCACATGACATCATTGTGCTCTTCTCTGATTGGTGTAACTGACTCTGAGGGCGGAGTCTGTACATACCGACTCGTGCGTCCTCGTTGAGGACGTTCAGGATGCTGGTCTGAGGTCTCTTCCTGCCCCTCCTGGTGTCCACCTCCTCATGGAGTCCAGCTTCATCCATGATGTTCATGATCTTCCCCAGAGCCTCGTTCCCCAGAGTCTCCATGATGGACGCAAACTGCATCTGAGGGGGTCAAAGGTCAGACACGTGAGCGAGCCGAGAACGAGAAAAACATCCGAGAAACGAAAAAAGAAAAACTGTGAACAGGTGAGACCAAGAAACAACCAAACAGGTCAAAGTCTTCTGTGAAGGTTCCATTCATGTTGGACAAGATCTCCAGGTTCAGGAGCAGCAGGACTCTGGAGTCAGAGTCACCGGATCGACTTCATGTCACTGAAGAGGTCTGATGAATCAAGATCTAACACCCTTCTGGAAAGGACAACTGGACTTACTTCAGACGTTTCGCTTTAGTGAGTCCAGTTGTCCTTTCAACACAGATCTGTAAATCATAGATGCTGCATCCTCAGTTTTAGACAAGATCTTCAGGTTTAGGAGGAACATCTGCGTCCATCCAGACCAGGACTTTTTCAGGGGAGACCTTCATAAGATCCTGAACCACATTCTGACAACAGCATGGCTCTGTAGGAGAAGAGTCCTGGACTGATGTGGTTCTGACTTGGAAACATTTGGATCACCATGACCCCAAAACCAGGACCAAGGAGACCCCGAACTGTGGAGCAGCTAAAGTCCTCCATCCAGGACAACGTCTGACTACCATAGGGGTCTTTGAGGGCAGATAATCGATAATGACATCAAAAATCAATGTCCCTCAATATCAATATCAAACATGATCAATATCCTTTTCAATAGTCGTCATTCTGACATGTTTTGGTCGACTATACGAACGGCCAATGAAAAGGGGAGTTTCTCCGGGTCTGAACCAATCATGTTCTGAATTAGTCGAAGCAGACAGCAGCTCCACCCAACCATAGCACTTTAACAGGTGAAGCCGACAGCACCTCTTTTTCACCACCTGAAGCAGCGCCACGCCGCAGAGCACGCGCAACGCAAAAGGTTACAAACCCCGAGAGGAGCGAGGAGCCCATGGCGCCTGAAACAGACGACCATTCAGTCGGCTTTCTCTAGAGCGACGCCTTACGACAAAACGCCAAAGAGACACAAAGACCTCACAGATGCAGGAGATTATTGTGTTGGAAAAGTTTTATATCCTGATATTGATCGATATCAGCTGATATGATAATAAATATATCGGGATAAACTTTTTACCGTATCGCCCAGCCCTATAACAGACCCCTGTCTCCTCACCATCTTGTCCCGGATCCCTTCCGGTCCCTTCAGAACCGGTCCGTCCTCGTCCTCGGACCCGGACCCGTCGCTCCGGTCCTTCAGTCTCTCCTCCATCAGCTTCACCAGCTCCGCCACCGCCGCGTGGATCAGGGACTCCATGACGGCGGAGAACTGGACGTGGAGGCAGGTGGTCATCCTGCTGCTAACTGACGGAGGCTAACGGAAGAGCCGGGAAGAGCCGAGCGGAGCCGAGCGGAGCCGACAGGAGCTAACTCGGGCTAAAACAGGAGCTAACAGCGGGCTGTTCCGGTCTGTGGGGAGAACACACCCAGCTGGGTTTGTTCCGGTTCGTTAGAATCAGAAAAAGTTCGTAAATCTGAAGAAAAAAAAAAAAAAACTCCGACATGAACAAACTGACAACAAAACTAAAGGGAGAGGACAGATACAGGAAGTGACGGTGTTTCCTCATCCGGGTCTGCTTCTTCTTTGTGGCGGTTATTATTCTAAACACCTACAACACCGCCCCCTACAGGACTGTCCCAGAAATACAAAAATAAAAAGTCAGAAAAAGTGAGTCGAAAATAAGTCTTAGAGTTTCTTTCAGGAGTTTTTCCGAACAGTTTTCTACACTCCGCTCTCACAGCATCGGTCTTTTTACCGTTCACACATTTATGTCGTTTTCACACAATAACCAGTCAGTGAACAGATTTACACAACGTTAACGAGCTAGACCTCCCAACAATATGATGATTATTTTTGTGTTATTTATAAATGTTAACTCACAACATCCCATAATAATAAAAACTATATTTCTAACCTCAGATACAGAGTAAAAACCTCTGCTGCTGTAATGATACCAGATCAAAATCAATCAATCTGAGCTGATCAGAAACAAACTGTTGAGTCATCGACACACAGATGGTTTATGTCGGGTAAACTGGTGCTAAAACAGCTGATTCTGGTCTGACTTAGACTCAGAGTTCAAAGGTTAAAAGGAGGAGTGTGAGGAGAGATGGACAGAAGAAGACAAACGCTGAAGTGTCTGAACGAGGAAGAGGAAGAGGAAGAGGAAGAGGAAGAGGAAGAGGAAGAGCGAGGGGCCGAGGGAGGAGAGCAGGAGGTTTAGTTCACTGTAAACAACAAACTGTTTTCTGTTCTATGATGTAGTAAACAGTGTTTCTCCTCCTGTACCTCCTGTAGTAAACAGTGTTTCTCCTCCTGTACCTCCTGCAGTAAACAGCAGTAGTGTAGGAGTGAGTCTGTGTTCAGAGTTTAAAAAGGATCTGAAGTTTGGGTCGGTCATCGTTAGGGACTGAAGGGTCGGTACAGTGGACCTTCAGGACCTCTGTGGTGGACATATTTGACCCTCGTCTCCTTCACAGCTGATCAGTCCTTCCTGTTTCTTTATAACTTGGACTCAACTTCTCCGACTCAGAGTCCACCTCAGAGACTTGGACAGTTTCTCTGACCTGGACTCAGAGCCTAGAAATGGCCCTGATCCAGGACTCTGGATCCTGAGCCACAGTTGAATGAGTTCTTGAGCACAAAGGTTCATGTTTGAGTTTTTATTGAAACATCCGGAGTTCACAGACAGACAGACGGACTGAGGATGAAACAGACTCAGAGGTAGCTGTTCGGTTTTTACAGGTTAACGTGTTTTTAAAGGTTTAAACTTCATTTTTCTAAAACATTCAGTCAAAAACAAAAACACTTTAATATGAGGCTCCAGTACACCTGATCCTGGACTCTGTAAACCACATGATCAGCTGATGGAGGGTCTGGTTTCCTGTAGGCACAGTGTGGCTTTGAAGGGGGTCCAAGAGGATCATATACAGACTGAGGGGACCCTCGAAGACCTGAACTGTGACGGAGACAGACTCGCACTGACAGAGTCCAGAGTCCAGAGTCCAGTTGCAGGTGTTCCCCAGGAGTCCGTCCCAGACTGTCCGGGTTCATGTGGTCCATGGTTCTGAGTAAAGGGTCCAGGTTAGACAACAGAGAGATCAGGGTCTACTGACCTGAAGGTCACGTGACCATCCACAGGGTCATGTGACCTCCCAGTCCTGTGTGACGTCACACTCTCCATGTGGTTTGGGTGGAGGTGTCTGAGCCTGTTAGCAGCTCTTACTCCACCTTCTCACTCTGTCTCTGCTGCTCCACCCACTCCACGATGAGGCGGTTGGCGAGGGCGTGTTTTGGGGGAATCCAGAGAGAGGGGGCGTCGCCTCTCCTGGGCGGAGTCTTCACCTTCAAGGCGGCGGTTATTTCCTCCAGACTGAACCAGCGAGCGTCCTCCAGCTCCGAGTGGTCCACCTTTAACTTTAACAGAAGATCACATGACACACCGCCATCAACCCAAGAGAGCGCCACCTACAGCAGGTGTTCCTCAGGGCTCAGTGACGGGTCTGTCTGTCTGTCTGTCTGTCTGTTAAGTTAAAGCTCAATTTCAAAGGTGTGGGAGCTCACCTGAGTGTGGGCGGGGCTAACGGAGGCGTGGCAGCCCACCATAAAGGAGCTGTGAGGAAAAGGCCAGTGCTGAGAGGAGCTGTAGGAGACGCTGTGGACCTCCAGACCCACCTCCTCCGCCAACTCCCGGTTCAGAGTCTCCTCCAGAGTCTCACCTGGACCCGCCACAAGGAGAGAGAGAGAGAGACAGAGAGACAGGTGAGTTATACAGGTGAGCACACAGGTGAGCAGACAGGTGATCCGTTAGGAGGACTGACCCATGTCACAGAAGCCCGCCAGAGCGCTGTACAGTCCTGGAGGGAAGGACGACTGTCGACCCAACAAACACCGTTTCCCATCAGACACCAGGACAATCACCACCGGGGCCATCTGCAGGAGAAACCGGTTCAAACAGGTCTGCTTCACCTCCAATCTGGATCTGGTTTGATTTGGATTCAATTGTACTGGATCAGATCTGAACCAGTTCTTGGTTAGAAGTCGGTTCAGAACTTGGTTTGAAACTGGTTTGTAGATTTCTTGGATGTAGTTTCCTGTTGGGACTTGGTGTAAACCTGGTTCTGGTGTAAACCTGGTTTTGGTGTAAACCTGGTTCTGGTGTAAACCTGGTTCTGGTGTAAACCTGGTTCTGGTGTAAACCTGGTTCTGGTGTGAACCTGGTTCTGGTGTAAACCTGGTTTTGGTGTAAACCTGGTTCTGGTGTGAACCTGGTTCTGGTGTAAACCTGGTTCTGGTGTGAACCTGGTTTTGGTGTGAACCTGGTTCTGGTGGAAACCTGGTTTTGGTGTGAACCTGGTTCTGGTGTAAACCTGGTTCTGGTGTAAACCTGGTTCTGGTGTGAACCTGGTTCTGGTGTAAACCTGGTTCTGGTGTGAACCTGGTTTTGGTGTGAACCTGGTTCTGGTGTAAACCTGGTTCTGGTGTGAACCTGGTTTTGGTGTAAACCTGGTTCTGGTGTAAACCTGGTTCTGGTGTAAACCTGGTTCTGGTGTGAACCTGGTTCTGGTGTAAACCTGGTTCTGGTGTAAACCTGGTTTTGGTGTAAACCTGGTTCTGGTGTAAACCTGGTTCTGGTGTAAACCTGGTTTTGGTGTAAACCTGGTTCTGGTGTAAACCTGGTTCTGGTCTGTGTTACCTTGGGGTAGTAGACGATGCCGCTGCTGCTGCAGACTCTCTGGCTCCCTGATTGGTTCCGTTGGGTCGGCTGACCTGTCGCGCTACAGAAGCCGCTGGTTTGATGCCAGCGCAGCAGAGCCTGACCCTGAAGGAGTCCAGACTGTTAGAAAACCTGCAGACCTGAACCTGAACACTCTGTACTGTTACAGTTACCCACCTTGGCCACTAGAGGCGCCTCCGCTCTCCTCAGGAGAAAGAAAGATTTCCTCAGATCCACAAATTTCCCCTGACACTCCTCCTCCACAGCAGCCTGATCCAGTTCTCCTGCAGGACCAAACACAGACCAGAACACAGGAACATCAGAGCCCAGAGTCCGGGTGAACGGGGCAGGGTGGGGGGTTCACTGTAATCTTACCGACGTCCAGACAGAACTGAGCCTGGTTCTGTTCAGAGCAGCCAATCAGAACTGACTCCTTCACCGAGGATCCGTCTGAACCGAGTCTCTCCAGGATCGACTGCAGATCTGAACAGAGCAAACAGAGACCTCAGAGACGGATCAGCAGTCTGAGGTTCTCCTGGGATTCTACCTGTGGCCCGCTACCTTAAAACTGAACCTGCGGTTCTAGAGTTCCTCTTTCCCTAAACCTGCTCATGATATCTCTGATGTTTCCCCACATTTCCAGACCAGGTATCCATGATCTTGTGGTTTACCTGTGCAGTGGACTTCTGCTGGTCTAAAGGTTCCTCTCTCAGTTCTTTGCAACAGAGGAGACAGACGGTGGAACAGGAAGAAGACACCGTCCTGCAGCGCCGCCGCACACGCTTCATCGTCCTCCTTCAGCCGGTTCAAGTACCTGACAGGACGAGAACCACGAAAACCAACCAATCAACCAACCAACCAACCAACCAACCAACCAACCAATCAACCAATGAAACGCCTAAACAGTCCATCAATCAATCAGTCAACCAACCAACCAATCCCCCATGTATGAGTTAGTAAACCTCATCCTGGAGATGAAGCCTGAGCAGCAGCGCACTGGTGGGTGTTTTGTTGCAGGTAGGAGGATCTTCAGAGGTCTGAACATGGCTGCCATTCTAAACCAGTTCAAACTGGTCTGAGCTGGTGTGAGCTGGTCTGCTACCTGACAAAAAAAAAAAAAAAACACAACAACAAACATGTCAACATGGTTTGAAAATTTTGACCTGACTGGAGGCAGCGGAGACTTTTGAGCCTGTAGTACCTCGGCACCTTCTTTCAGAGAACTCAGAGTGTATGGAGGCTCATTCTTGAGGCTTAGACTCCATTACATTTCCTCTAGCGCCACCATCTGGACAAACAAAGTTTAAGTTTAAGGCGAGGACTCCACAGCTGACCAACGCTGTCTGAGTTTGAAGAGTTCCTGCTGCACAGAGGTCTATTATTTGTTGATATCAGACTTTTAGACCCACAGTTACGTGTTAAAGAATGAGTCAGTAAACTGTGATCGTCTAAATCAAGGTTTGATTTTTGCCTTTTTATCATTAATATTAATTTTGTAAAGAATTTTAATTCAGACTCAGATGTTATATCTTCATGGATTCACAGATGGAGATTCAGAAAACTAAATAAATAAGGTAAAAAAAACACAAAGACTGATTTTTTTCTATGTCTGATTTCTCATTTTTTTCTCATAAAAACGTTGATTTAATTTTTTTAAACTTTAGTAGTTTTCAAGTCTCTGATCACCTTCATTTAATCTTAATTTCTTATGAAGCAGCTGTTCCTGAATCCTTTATTTCAGTCTTTTCTCCTCCATCTGTGTTTATCAAATCTATCTGAAATAGTCCTTCGTCTGAGGAGACGGTGGCACAAAATCCGCCTAATAAATCTGTCATTTTGAGTTTCTTTCATTATTAGTTACTCTTCATGATTTATTCTTCTCTTAATTTTAAATTTTCAACATTTTTGCTCACTCCGGCGTATTTATAATCGAAGAAGCTGCTTTTATTCCAACAATAACTCATATAAAAGGGGACCACAGTTTACTGTTACCCCAAACCCACTTTTAACTTTAATAACATAAACCTCATCATTATATTTTAGCTCTTCTAGAGTTCAGTTTAATCCTTTATCAGCAGTAAACTGACTGTCTAACATCGCAGCAGGTCACAGTCTCAGCTGGAGGGTTTTGGACTGAAACGTCTTAAATTTGGAAGATTTTGAATGGAGTTTGGTGCAGTCTGATCCGGACCGCACCACAGAAATGTGTGTTTTTCAGAGACTATAGTGTGCGTGTGTGTGCTGTCTAATCCGTGTGTGTCTCTAAATACCTGAAACCAATCTCTGATTCGGAGGTTTGTGACCTTTTCTTCTTCTTCTGTTTTTTTTTTTTTTTAAGTTTGACGGACTTCCGCCCTCTACCGGAAACAACGACGAATACATACAAAAATAACAAACAACTAAAATCAACAAATAACGAAAAGAAAATGAATTTATTCGGTTAAAAACAGTGTCATTTTTTTCTTTAAACGGTTGAAAAGCAAATCTTAGTTTCAATACAGGTGCAGTTACCGCCTCTCACTGTCCCAGGCGGAGACTACAGTTCCCATCAGGCCGTTCGGCTTCACACATGTGTCTGAGAAGAGTTTAGTTTATAGAGCAACAGCAGCAGCATCATCATGTCTGTGTTTATGGACTTAAATCTGAGTTTTTGTGCCGATAAGAGCCGCCTAAGGAGCCTGATAGAGACCGCAGCTCACCGTGAGTGTGTCCGAGCTTCTCTCTTAAATCAGCACTTTTTTAAACGGGGTTCTGTTAGAGCGGCCCGGAGCTAACTCTGCTAACAGCAGGACTTCAGGGGAACTACAGTTTAAATATAATAAATTCAATACTAAATATTCAGTCATAACATCAGTTCATTAATGTTCCGTATGTTTAATAAAATGTTCGTTAATTGCTCCGATTTTTCCTCAAGTCTGAGAAACAATTTCGCCACAAAACTCTGTTTCTAAAACACATCATTTAACTTTCCTCTGTGTATAAAACAAATAAAATAATGATCATGATGATTCAATTAATTATATGAGACCAGATATCTATCAGAAGAATACGGCTGTGTATTTGGATACACAAACAGTAAGGTTATTATATAAACACGTTAGAAGTCTGATAAAGAGAACAGACTGGCATCATGGGTGATAATTACAGGTGAGGTCTCTCCACAGACACACACCTGTTGGTTAGTTCATGACAGGTCTCCTTATTAACAGCTCTTTAGTTCAGAAAACTTCATCACTTTTAGAGAGTGATCAAACATGTCCAGGATTATTTTTCAGATAGAAAAGGGCAGACAGAATTTCTAAGAGAGGAAAATAAACTTTAGTTTTATGAAGTGGAAAATATTAAATAAAATCTAACCCATTATTTATCTAAAAACACACTGAGGCTTTGAACCTCGGATGATTGTCCGAGTAAAAAACAAAGTTTACCGTCAAAATGAATCATAATAACAATAATATTACTAATGATAATAATAATAATGATAACAATAACAATAATAAAGGGATCATTTCTGTCAGATTTTCTACACTAACATGTTTTTCTCTCTCAGTCGGTTTCTCCACAGTTGCCGTTAATTACACGTTTGAACCGACGGCCAAAAAGAAACAGGTGAGTTTTTACCTGCTGTGCTGCCTTCAGGGACAGTCAGGGACAGGAACTGACCCCGTCTAGATCTTAAATATCATAGATTCCTGTTTCAGTTTAGTAACAGCTGACTGTAAATGTCTGCAGTTCACCCTAACCCTCACTGTCAGCAGGACCGGATCCTCAGTACCTGAACTGAACCAGCTGAGCTGAACCGGTTCTGTCTTCATATTCTTGGGTTTCCATCGCCGTCTCTTTTATTTTGAAATATTTCCTGTTTTCAGGAGATCCCCGCCCCCATGCCGATCACAGATCTGATGGATCAGCTGCCCGTCGTTCAGGTATGATGGTGGAGACACTGATGATGATGAAGATGATGAAGATGATGAGTGTTTACCTCCCTGTGTCTCTGTCAGGGTCGCTCTCGTCCAATCAGAGTCCTGAACAGGCTGACGGTTGTGATGTCAGACTCCAGCCACTTTGTGAGTGTGTGTGTTTGTGTATATATGTGTGCGTGTATTAATATGTGTTTGTGTATTAATCAGCGTTTGTGTTAATGTGTGTGTGTTAATGTGTGTGTGTGTTCAGAGACCCACAGCTCCAGAGTACCGTCGCTTCGACCTCCTGGCCGTCCAGCCGACCTCAGAGAAACTTTTTCATGTGAGAAACTTTTTTAACAGAAAAACAAGTTTTGACTTTTTATCCTGCAGCTGCTGGAAAAAACAGATCAAGTTTATATTATTATTATGATTATGGTAATTATTATAGCAGTAATAATGATTATTATTACCGTAATAACAACAATAATAATTATCATTATAATGGTAATTATAACAGTAATAATACAATTAACATAATAATAATTATTTTCTGTTATAATCATAATTATTATGTTTATTATTACATTTCAATTGTTCAATAGTTTATATTCCCTTTTCTGAAACAGACAGAACAGCGACAACATGAGAGGAAAATATTAAAAAGAGAAATAATATTTTTATCATTATTGATATATTAATGTTCACAGACTACCTTCATCCTGTGTGTGTGTGTGTGTGTGTGTGTGTGTGTGTACAGGTGGCCTGTATGACCTTGGATATCGACATCATCTGTATCACAGTGACAGAAAAACTTCCTTTTTTCTTCAAGAGAGCGCCGATCAACGGGGTCAGAAACATCAGAACTATTATTATTATTTTACTGTCAGCTGTGTGTTTTTTAATGTGTGTGTGTGTGTGTGCAGGCGGTGGAGCGCGGCGTCATGTTTGAGGTCTCGTACGCAGCAGCCATCAGAGACGCCACCATGAGGCGTTACACCATCGCGAACGCCACCTCTCTGATGGAGACGTGTAAAGGGAAGGTACGCCTGTTTTGACCCGCTCTGCTCGCTCAGTGTTGTTTGATTATGTCAGAGGGGGCGGGGCCTAAATACCTGCAGTTTAACCTTGCTGGTCTGTGTTTCTCAGAACGTGATCCTGTCCAGTGCAGCAGAGAAGGTGAAGTGTTATTGATCAGTTATTGATCAGCTGATTTATCAAGTATACCTGCATGAATACTGTGTAATAATCCATACTGTGTGTGTGTGTGTGTGTGTGTGTGTGCGTGCACGCCTCAGCCCCTGGAGCTCAGAGGACCGTATGACATCACTAACCTGTATCCTTTGATCACACATTAAAGCTCCTGTCAGGAACTTTAGGTTGATTTTGGCGCCCTCTGGTGGACAGAGTTAGTTAGTCAGTTAAAGAAACTGTCCGACTGTTTCTGACATAAACAAACGTAGACGCCGTCCCGCAGAGTCATGTGACCACAGCTGAATGTTTCCTGAGCCGCTCCTCAGAGGTCTGCTGTTCGGTCTGTCTGACGGAGACTCCAAAGAAGCCGTGTCCTCCACCTGTCGATCGGCGGTGCTGCACGCAGGTACGCATGACTGAGACAGCTCTGATTGACCAATCAGAGACCAGCATGTCACTGACTCACTGTTCCTGTCCGTCAGAAACCAGGTGGACGGCGAGCGGGATCATTAGAACCACAAAGACCTGCAGTGTCACCCCCATCCAGCAGGAGGCTCCACCTGAGGAGAGTGAGTGAGCAGAAGAAGTTAAAGCTCCTCTGAAGGTTCAAACATCGTTAAATTTAACCTTCGTCTGATTTACCTGCACAGGTGACGCTCCGGCCGCAAAGAAGGCCAAGCTTGAGGACGAGTGATTGACAGCTGTGGAGGCGGAGCTTCTTTGGGTTTATTTTTTATTTTCTGTTAAAACGTTTTTTTTTAATAAAGTTACTCAGATCTCAGATCAGCTTTAATAAACTTTATTTCAAATCTGCGGTACAAATGCTGCTCTCTGATTGGACAGACGGCAGGAAGTGATGTCATCCAAAAATAGAGTTTTACAATCGGAGTCAAAAATATCAAAAATAGAATCATCTACAAAATTAAACAGAACCGCCTTAAAGAGGCGCGGCCAGCTCACAACGCCGCCTTAAAAACATGGAGGCGGAGCCAACACGGCTACGCTAACCAGGCTAACGAGGCTAACGTCATTAATACAGAACCAGAACCAGAACCAGAGTCACTCTAACAGCCTGGAGCTCAAGAGATCCAGTCCACGTCACAAAGACGCCAAACCAGACCTGACCTGACCCCCATCACTGAGCGGAGACCCCGTCACTGATCCAGAACCAGCCGGTCTGATCCAGAACCAGCCGGTGTCTCCCCTCTCATGTCTTCAGATCACATGAGAACACCTTGAACGGTCCCGGGATAAAACCGGGTCCTTTTGGACAGAACTGAACCGGTTTAGTGGACCACAAAAAAGAACTCTGATCTCAGTGTCTGACTCAACAAAAACAGGTTCTTAGGTCCAGAACCATGACATGGTCTGGACCCAGAACCACGTGACAGACCGGTTCAGTGAAGCGGTCTCTGACTAAGGGGACGGTGTGTGGGGGGGCCCAGAGACAGGAGAATGACGGCGTTTGTCCCCCCTATAGCAGCCCCCCTGGTCGATGTTCTGGGTCGGAGAAACCCAGAAGATCAGGGTCTCTAAAAACTCTGGACTAGCCCTTTAAGGTTTCAGGTCCCAGACTGACCCACAAGGACTGACGCTGCGTTCATGTTGGACTCGGAAGTCGGGATTTCCGAGCTCTGAGTCAGAAATTCTGGAACGCCCCTGAAGTCGGATTTCTGACTCGAAAAGTCAGACGATCCTCGCCGACCCCGACTTAATGACGTCATAATCCAAGATGGCGGCGCGGTTCATCGACAGTGAAGTTTTCTTCATCATCACTTTCTGTCGTTCTGACCGCCAACTGACTGTGAACACGCTGCTGCGGCGTTTGGAAGAGGAAAATACTGGGTTTGTTTACAACGTATCTCTAACAACAACTAACAACCGCTAACAACGGGTAACTGTCGGCGTCCATCTTGGTTTTCAGACTCGTTAACTGAACACAGCGCTTATCCAAACGTTCTAAATCTGCAGACACACGTGTTTAAAGTGATGAGTTCACTGAGCGTCGGACGTTTCAGGACCGCAGCTTCAGGTGTCCTTTAACTACGTCACTAATCAATATCCAATAATCACTTTGATCGCTTTGATCTTTGAGTTGTTCCCTTAAACTCAACATGACGGTGTGTTCAGGGTCAGTGGGACATCTGAGAGCTCCGAGTTCAGGCAGCAGGACAGCGTCAGTGAGGAGGGAGACAACAGAACCCCTCAGATGTCCCAGTGTCCCTGAACGCAGCGTGAAGAACAGCAGCAGGTGGAGGTGAGAGTTCATCTTCTGTTTGAGTGACAACAAGGCACCTGATTGGCTGTCTCTCTGTGGGCGGAGTCTGATGACATAAACATCTGGAGCAGGAGTCTCATCACGTAGGTTTTCAGGGTCCCTGAGTTAGGACCGAGGGAGGGGGTCTAAACTCAGCCCCCTGACCCAGGGGACCCTCAGGGACCCTCAGGGGACCCAGGGGTCAGAGGGTCAAGTTTAGATCTCCTCCTCCTCCTCCTCCTCCTCCTCAGTGTCTCATGATGTGGTTGATGTGACCCTGAAAGCACGAGAACATCACTGACACCTTCTCTACTTCCTGTGATGAAGATGATGATGAAGATGATGATGTTCGTTAAACTCCTCACTCACCGGTTCTCCTCCCAGACAGCGGGGGCAGCAGAGCGCAGGAGGTCTGGGCTGAACTACATCCTGCATCTACACACACACACACACAAGCAAAGGTCATGGCGTTACCATAGCAACAGCTGCCTAACATCATGGTATTATCAGCTGTTTTAGGTTACAAAGGGAGTTTTCGTTGCCATGACAACCCACACTCACCTGTTGCTCTGGTCGCTGATTGGACGCTGTGAAAGTGAGGGAGGTTTCCATTGGACACTCAACTGACAGAAGCTCCGCCTCCAAACACACCCGCTTCTGTGAACACACACACACACACACACACACACACACACACACACACACACACACATCACCTTCATCATGAGGACTCCGAGGTGGTATGAGCTGACATCACCTTCTACCTGGACACGCCCCCTCAGAAAGTCTGACGTCCTGTTCGTGTTTTTTTTTTTTTTTGTTGGATGGTAGGGGAAGGTCCCGCCTCCTTGGCCTCTGATTGGCCAGAAAAGCAGGAAACGTCATCACACGCCCAAGCTGAACGCGGGCTGACAGCGCCGAACATCGAACAGAACATAATCGTAATTCTTAAAGAGACGATGACGTTTCACAGCAATAAGGAACAACCAATCAGAGCCCAGCACTTCTGGCCAATCAGAGGCGAAGGAGGGCGGGACCTTCCCCTACCATCCTAAAAAAAAAAATCATGTCCTGGTCCTGACTGACCCTGAACTTCAGGTCCTGGTGGACCACAGGAACCACTTGGTTCTTGACAGACACTGAGGCGGCCTCCACAGCTCAGGTGTGCAGCAGGTTATAATGCTGGTACGGCATCATCCAAAAGGGGGCGGGGCCATGACTCCAGGTCAAAGTACCTGTATCACTCTGATCTCTAAATCTGACCTTCGCTCTGTGATAAGACTGAGAACAGGTGTGTCTGAGATCACCTGACACGCCTCACTCCTCCATCAAAGAAGTTTGTGTAAAGGTTATTGATTAATTTCACTTCAGTTCATCTTCATATAGACTCAGGCGCTACAGTCTAACCACATTAAACAGTTTACGAAGTGAAATTAATCAATAACCTTTACACGAACTTCTTTGATCGTCTTCTGTGCCTCAATCGTAAAACACCGATTTATCATCATTATTGGTCCCGACAGACTTCTGGTCACTTCTGTTGGAGTTTTTTATTTACATCCTTTTATTTTTTCAGTAAGAAACTTTTTTTTTATTTGCAGCAGTGGCTGCTCTCGGCCACCGTATATTTTCACTCACTCACTCACACACACACACACACACACACACACTCACTCGTTCACTCACTCACTCACTCACTCTCTCTCTCACTCACTCACTCTCTCACTCTCACACACACACACACACACACACACACTCTCACTCACTCACTCTCTCTCTCACTCACTCACTCACTCACTCACCGCCCTGTAGCTCCTCGCTTCTTCTTCTTCGCTGTCCTCCAAACTCTTCTTCTTCTTCCTCAGGAGGCTAACACACTGCATGCTAACAGCTAACGGCTAACAGCCTACACTTCCGTTAGCCTGTTAGCCTGTTAGCTCGTTCGCGGACAAAGCGTTGACAAAGTTTCCCGCTCAGACTGAACTCGTTAATAAAGTTTATCCGGTTAAACTTTCTCTCTCTGCTCACCGTAAACTCTTGTTTTTGTTGACCGACCTTCTGCTGACCGGCAACCTCAAGTTTACGACAACTACAGCAACACAACAGGAAGCGGGCCCCCACGACTCTTCAGAATAAAAGCCCGGTATTCACCATCAGAATCCAGTTAGAATTCAGATACTGTCTTTCTAGCTTTCGTTATAATTGCACTTTTTCTTCATTAACCTTTTAATGTTTTTTTTCTGTTGCTCTATTCTATTATAACAGTAATTATCAGTATTACTTTATTATTTAATTATCTTTGTTGATATTGTCTTTTATTTTTACTTTCCTGTTTCTGCTTCGACTCCATTATAATTACATTTTATTTTTTCTTGACTATTCTATGTTCTTATTTTGGTCCTCATGGTCTGAGTTTATGTTGAAAGGTTCTTGTTTTGTCTCGGTTCCTTATGAGTGCTATACAAATAAAGTCATTATTATTATTGTCATTAGTAGTAGTAGTAGTAGTGGTGGTGGTGGTGGTAAAACCTTGATTTAAAAGCTTGACTAAAACTTCAAATGCCTTCATGTTACGACCGCTCAAAGAAAAGGACAATGGTAATAATGAAAAATAGGTTAAAAATGAAAACCTGGAGATCCAGCAGTCTGAACTGTTAGTAAAAAAAACATCACTTTGAGCAGGCAGATTATAAACGATACTAAATCAGAATCAGAAATACTTTAATAATCCCCAGGGGGAAATTTGCTTTTGTTACAGTACTGCAGTACAAATACAGTAAAGAGAAGATAAATGATGGATCAAATAAAAGATAAAATAAGTAAAAATAGAGAGATAATATACAAGTATTTACACCATAAACAACACAAATAGTGACATCATACATTTGTAAAACAATGAGCAGAGTCCAAGTGAAGATAAAATTAAAGCTGTAATTAAAAATGCATTAAAAAGAGCCTTCAGTAATTAAGCAGAGCTCTAACAGTCTTCTTCGTTTCTTAAAGTATTTTAGTCAAACTTTTAAAATAGTCTTTATAAAGTGGGATGATCACCCACAGCTCAGAGGTTTAAAATCAGATAAAAGGATCTGAACTTTGACATTTTCAAACAATGAGATTTAAATTAATCTTCATAATCACGTTGATTAAAATCTGTACAAAACTTTTATTTTGAAGGTCCTCGTGCTGTCCCGGTCGTTGTGTTTCCGTATGTTTGACGTCTCACGTTGGACGCGTTTACACGCTGTTTCCATTTCAAATGGTCTGACGTCACAGAGGAGAAAGCCAATCACGGTGAGCACAAAGTCTCACGAGATTTGGAGTTTTTTTTTTTTTTTTTTTTAATGTTTTATTGATGAAAAAATTTTACAGTTTGAAAAAAAAAAAAAACTAAAGAGACAAATCTGAATACAGTAAATACTACATAGTGAGTACTGTGTTTGATAGTAGTATACAGTAGATACTTCATACTGTGTTCTTTAGTAGTATTCAGTAGATACTTCATACTGAGTACTGTGTTTGATAGTAGTATATAGTATATCCTACACACTGAGTACTGTGTTCTTTAGAAGTATTCAGATTTTTTCCGATCTTTTTCTCTTTGTGGAGATCGCGCTTTAGGACCAAGATCGCCATAGAAACGAGATTCATAATAATTAACGACCTCTACAATCGTCAACCATGACTTTAACTGATAATGTGAAAACTGTTTATTACTGTGTTGTTGTTATCATTATTATTATTGTTGTTGTTGTTGTTGTTGTTTTAATGATTGTTGTTATTATTGTTATTACTACCTGATCCTTCTCTCCTGAGGATAATCTTTGGTCTGAAACTCTCACGTCTTCATGTGGGAGGACACGGCGGGTGGACGTGGATCATCGTCTGAGTTTCCGGCGTGAAGACGAGGTTTTCTAAACAAAGTTCAAATAAAGATGAAGTGAATATTTCTGTAAAAGACGATGATTTAAAGTTTTAAAGTGTGACAGAGTGAAGGTGATCAAGGTCAGCTGTTAAAGAAAAAGAGAGAGAGAGAGAGAGAGAGAGGTGGAGCGGTGCGGATCTCTCCTGGGTTTCTGTTAAACGAGTGGAAACTGAACAAACGGAGCGAAAGAACAAGAAGAAGGAGGAAAAGGAACGACAGAGTGAAGGTCACAGAGTGCTAAACGATGTTTAGAGGGAGGAGGACGATCCCTCAGGGCCTCCACACCTCCATCACTCCTCCATCATCTTCATCCTCCTCTCCTCTGCAGCCTCACCTCCCCACCTCCTCCTCCTCCCTCCCTCCATTGTGCCTCCTCTCCTCCCTCTCCTCCTCTCTCATCCCTCCATCACTTGTTCCTGATTTTCTTCCTGTTAAATCAGTTTGAGCGGAAAATTTTCCTCCCAGAGGCCGAAAAAAAACACAGAAACCTCCCCAGCATCCTCCTCCTCTTCATCTTCGTCTTCATCACACCCCCATCCACCTCCTCCTCCTCATCTTCATCACCTCCCCCACCACCTCTTCCTCCTCCTCCTGGTGTTTTCGTCTCAGTCCAGGTCTAAAGTTTCTTTTTTATTTCAGTCCTGACGTCTAAAAATCACCGAAATAAAGTTTCTCTAAATAATCAAAGACCTGAAGAAGGAGGAGACAGAGGAGGAGACAGAGGAGGAGACAGAGGGAGAGGACAGGGGAGACAGAGGGAGGAGGAGACAGAGGAGACAGAGGAGACAGAGGGAGGAGGAGACAGAGGAGGAGGAGACAGAGGAGGAGACAGAGGGAGAGGACAGGGGAGACAGAGGGAGGAGGAGACAGAGGAGACAGAGGGAGGAGGAGACACAGGAGGAGACAGAGGGAGAGGACAGGGGAGAAAGAGGGAGGAGGAGACAGAGGAGGAGACAGGGGGAGATGACAGGGGAGACAGAGGGAGGAGACAGGGGGGACAGAGGGAGGAGGAGACAGAGGGAGAAGGGGACAGAGGGAGACAGAGGAGGAGACAGTGGAGACAGAGTGAGGAGGAGACAGAGGAGGAGACAGAGGAGGAGGAGACAGAGTGATAATTGAGAGTTTGTGAATCAAAAATGAAAAAACTGAATCTTATTCTCAGATTCGAGGAAAAACGATCAGCTGATTGTTTATAGTTTACTGAGGATCAATAAATCAGGACTGGGGGCCGGATCATTAACACACACACACACACACACACACACACACACACTAAAACACACACACACACACACGGCTGTCAGTCACACAGAAATCAATAAAAGTGTAAAAAGCTGTTAAAGTTCAGATTCATCTGAGCTGAAGGAACCAATTAAAGGAACATGTGTGTGTCTGTGTGTTTTTTGTGTGTGTGTGTGTTTTAGTGTGTGTGTGTGTGTGTGTATCAGCTTGGTTCTGAACATTACAGTCATTAAATCCAAACAGAAACTTCTGCTCCTGTTGGATGAAGATGATGTTGGAAGCTGCAGTTCTCAGAGTGTCCACTAGAGGCAGCAGACCATAGACTGTTTATACTCTGGACAACTTCCTCCTCCCGCCTGTTTACGGATCTGAAGCTGAAAAGTTTTTCTGTAATTCTGAGTTTTTTTCTCCACTTCCTCAAACCAACTTTGTTCAGTAACGTTGTTCTTATTCAGCAGGAGAGTCTCTGTGATGACGCTCGGCTCAAACAGCGTATCCCCCGGTGATCTACTCAATCTCTGTCCTCCCATTGGCTGTATCAGGTGTCAATCATAGAAAACATGAACCCCCTAATAACTTTTAAAAATGGAGCTGTACAGAAAAAAGAGGACTTGAGCACAAACCAGTCTGACAGTAACTACATGTCAACATCACAACCAGGGGGGAGAAACATTTATATTCTGTGTCATTCATTTATAAAGTTTGTCCACAGCTCCATAAGGAGGCGGGGTTTAGGACCTATACTGCAGCCCGTCACCAGAGGGCGCTGTTCTCAGAGCGAGGAGGCAGACGGCGTCTGTTCTAGAGACAGTCTAAGCAGCACACACACACACACACACACACACATTTTGAAAGGCCCATTTTGTTTCAGGTCACAGGATCAGCCAATCAGAGGCACAGCTGACTTGACTGACAGGTGGGGTGACTCTAGCTATTAGTGAGGAGGCCTCTGATAGGTCGACCAAATATGAGGTGGTCGTTTAAATAAAGTTTATTTTTATTGGAGGTTTTAAAAAAGAAAACAACTGTTTTTCTCTGTAAATGTGTGTGTGTGTGTGTGTGTGTGTGTGTGTGTGTATGTGTGCGCACGTGCCACTTTGATTGACAGGTCTGACAGCTCTGTGATTGATTACCCTCCAACCAACCAGAGCCTGACATGCAGACACACCACAGTGTGTGTGTGTGTATGTGTGTGTGTGTGTGTGTGTGTGTGTGTGTATGTCAGCAGATTCTGTGAGCCATGAAGTCTCCATTACAGTGTGAGGTCATCAGCCGGGGGCGGGGTCATAGGTCAGATGGCCCGCCCACATAGATCTCCAGAATCAGCGACTCTGAGGGTTTTAAAAAAGTGACAACACGACAGCTGAGTAAGAGTGAGGCCAAAACACTCAGAGCTCCCCCTGCTGGCTGTCTCCAGTATAGTCCATAAGCCCCGCCTACTCCATGTAAACCGATGGGACATGAGTCAAACTCTGATACCCTAATGGAGGTCCGATTTGTGTTTAAAATGAGCACTTCAGTGATTAATGTTATTAAAAGGGGCGGTGTCATCATGATTGACAGCTGTGTTGACCAATGAGGCTCCTGTAGTCCTGCGTGGAGGAGGAGCAGAGAGAGGAAACAAACACAGACGGTTTCTGCTTCAGGAGAGAAAGTGTGTTTGTGCGATACCAGCTCCAACCTGCAGGGGGCGGAGTTCAACATTTACACAGAGAGTTTACACATGACAACGTACACACACACACACACACACACACACACACACACACACACAGAAAAACACAAACACACACACACACACACACACACACACACACACACACACACACACACACAAACACACACACACACACACACACACACACACACACACACACACACACACACACACACACACGGGGCCAAAATCAATGAAGAGAAACAAGTTCATCTGAAAGTCGAGCAGAAGAAGAAAAAACAACTTTAAGAAAGAAAGAGACTTTTGTCCCTCAGGACCTGAGCCAATCAGGGAGCCAGACTGAGGTCGCCATGGTAACGACATGATGCTTGTCCAGAGGAGACGGGTCCAGACAGAAAAAGAGAGGGAGGGGAGGATGGAAGGGAAGAGAAAAAGGAGAAAAAGAAGATTCAAACTAAGAAAGAAAAGAGGGAGTGAGAAAAAGAAGAGGAGGAAAAGTTTCAAGAAGAGATGAAGAGGAGTGAGGGAGGAAAAAGAGGAAAAAAGACAAGAAGAAAGAACGAGGGAAGGAGGGGAATAATTACGGTAGAACAGAGAAAAGAAGAAAAGAAAAGAACGAGAGAAAGTTCAACAAAAAGAAGAAAGAGAAGGAAGAGGAGTGGGGACGAAATAAAGAGAGACCAGGAAAGAAGAAAAGAGAAGGAAAGAAGAGTGAGAGAAGAGCTACAAAGGAGAAAAAAATAGAGATAAAAAAAGAGAAAGAAAAAAGACAAAAAGGAAAGGAGGTAGAAAGAAGAAAATATGAGAAGGAGAAAAAGGGAGAGGAGGAAGAGGAGGGAAAGAGGAAGAAGATGGACGTAAGAAGGAGGAGAAAAGAGGAGGAGGAGGAGAAGGAGGAGGAGAGATGAAGGTTTGATTGATTTTCTGTCTGTTTGCTGCAAAGAGAAAAAGAAAAAAAAAGAAAAAAAAGAAGAAAAGCTGTTTGACCAAAACGTTCAAATCACGTCTCAGAGGAACGAGAGTGTTAGTGTGTGTGTGTGTGTGTGAGTGTGTAATTTCCAGATAAACTTAATTAAAGTTGATTGGAGTTAATTGATTTTCTCGTTAAAGCGCTCAGACTGAAGCCCCGCCCCCTCTGTCCCCTCTCCCTTGTGACTGCGTTTAAAAGTTTAGAGGCGTGTTTACAGTCAGACTGAGGCTTTGTTACACTGCACACACACACACACACGTGCACACAAACACACACACACACACACACACACGTGCACACACACACACACACACACGTGCACACACGTGCACACACACACACACACGTTTTATCAAATCTTTTTCCTTCATAAACAGTTTTTGTTTGTTTTCTAATAACTGAGTGATTTTTTTAATATTATTGATGAAATTATTAAAACTAATGATTTAAATCTTTAATCAATAAACTTGTTACCATGGTGATCAAACAGACGGACACTCAGCTGCTGGTCTCCTCTGACTGTTCTCATGTTCGGCTGGAGTTCCTCTAACCCTCTCTGTTGAAGTCTTCAGCTGCAGTACTCCAGCCGTCCTGCAGGGGGAGCTGTGGTCCCACAGTTCAAACCTGCAGCAGTTCTGCAGTAAAACTACTGATGGATGTTTTTATCCTCCTGATATCAAACTTCTGTGTAAAAACGATCAAAGACTTAAACCCTTTAATTCACTGATCCGGACTAAAGACAAACACGGCGTAGAAACGAACTGATCCCGCCTCTGCTCTCACGCTGTGGTGTCCAAACTGTGGGCTGTGGCCCTACAGAGGTCGGGAGGTGAATCAGAGAGTTTTTCTGGACTCTCTGCTGTTTCTGCCAAAGTTACTCTGAGTGAAAACATGTCTGTAAAAACACGATAAAAACTCCACATGAAAGGATCCACAGACGGCGGCGGCGGGTTTAAAGGTGTGCTCACATTCATCATGTTTTCACCGCGAACAGCAGAGCTGATTCAGCCTCAGGATAAACTCGCCATCATCCTCAGACTCGGAGCTTTTAACGCTGACAAACACTTCCTTTGGTTTTCATGGGAGGGCTTTTATTTTGGAGGATCAGAAAACAGCTGTCAGCAATCACACATGAAACAGGCGAGGAGACGATACAGGTGTCAGAGCGAGAGGAGGCGGAGACTTTTATCTGATTTAATCATAAATGTTTTTTTTTTAAAGATTATTTTAGTTTTTTTTTCTGTTTTTGACGAAGAAAAAAAAAAAGGAGAAAAACAAAACCAGGATCCAGACCAGGATCCAGACCAGGAGCCTGTTCTACGACGTGGGTTCACTTTTTAGCGAGGTGAGTCTCCATGGCAACGTACGCTGAACGGCTAACCTGCTCCAGGGCAGGTTAAGTTCCAGATTGAACTAATGAGTATAAAAACCCCGCCCACTGACCAATGAGCTCTCTGGAAAAACGGCGTGTCCGTTCTTGGAGGATCCTGTAGACCTCGGTGCTCGCGTTGTCCGAGGAGGAGCACTCCGGCGCGTGAGAGTTTTCAGGGACCGCACGGACCCACTTCCTCCTCCGGATGACCTCCTTTATGAAAGGCTAATATGGCCGACAGACAAAACATGTGACCACGATAGGAATGAACACATGAATGAATTCATCCTGGAAATGAATCAGACATGTCTGCTCGCCGTAGTTAAAGCGCGTGTTGAAAAGCGCTGTTTCAGGGTGATGACCACATCAAAGATTTTTGGCGCTCTATACTTCCACATTGACTGTCGGCCATTTCCTGCCAGCGTTCCCTCCGCTCTTCTGCGGCGGTGACGGTGACGGTGACGGCGTTGTTTTTGAGGTTTATGACAGATTTGAATTCTTCAGACTTTCTCATGATCGTCTCCTGCTCCTCGTTTGTAAAGTCCGCGGTCCTTCGCTCTCCGGCCTGCTCTGACGCTCCAGACCGGTCCATGTTCACGATTGGTCAGATGCGGCGGGCTCCACCTTACATGCATGCACGCGCTCATAGCAAAGCTGGATCCTCTTACGAGGTTGATGACCAGCGTCGTAAGACCGTTTAGTGAGACCGCTGGCGACCTCGCTAAGTTGAACTCGCTTCATAGAACAGACCCCTGAGAGAGAGAGAGAGAGATCCTTCACCTGTGACGCTGCACCGACCTTCAAACAAACAGTTTAAAACAACAACAACAACAAAAACAACAACAACAGAGGAACAGATATG